CATTTTACCTACTAATTAATTTACTAATTGACTCTTTATTTTTTCTTCAATATTTAAAAAGTCAAAATGAAATTGGTGAAATTGGTGCCTCAGGCTTAGGCTCTGGTTTAGGAAAGTGTATAAATCTCTCAACTTTGACACTTAATCTTGAGTAAAAAATAAAAAGTTTATTTGCTTTGAATTATTATAAAAATGAATTTTATACAATATAACTCGCTTTATTTATTAGCTTTTTATTTGGTTTATTATTATTTTTTTTATACTTGTTTTTTTTTTTGCTAATTTAACTGATTTTTTCATTAATTTTATTATTAATTAATTTCTTGTTATTTAATATTTTTTATCTAACTAAACAATTAACTATATTTTATCCAATAATTAAAAAGTGGAAATAAAATTGGTTCAAATGGTGCATCAGGCTTAGGTTCTGGTTTAGGAAATTGCACTAATCTATCAAATTTGACACTTAATTTTAAGTAAAAACAGTTTATTTGTTTTGGATTGTGATATTTTATAGCATAAAAGTTATTTTAAAACAAAACAAACAATAAATTTAATTTTTTTATTACCCCTTTATTTAATTTATTTTTTTTCTTTGTTAATTAAACTCATTTTTAAATTTTATTTTATTATTTTTTAATAAATTTATTTCTGATTATTTTCTATTTTTTCTTCATTTTTTTTTCTAACTAAAAAATTAAGTATATATTTTTTCTTCATTTTTTAAAAAGTGGCACTGGCAATAAAATTGGTGATGAAGGAGCATAAGGCTTATGTTTTGGTTTAGGAAAGTGCACTAATCTCTCAACTTTGACACTTCGTTTTTAGTAAAAAAGTTTATTTGTTTTAGATTGTGATATCTTTTATATATAAATAATAACTTAAAACAATTTTATACTTTTAATTTATTTATAAGCTTTTTATAGTGGACGTCATTTTAAATTTTGGATCATTTCTATTAAAAAAATATCATAATTGAAAACAAAATATGTATGATATTTGTTCGTAAAATATGATATATTGTTTTCAAAATATAAAGTTTAATAACAAAAATTATCTTTAGATATAAAAGCTTAACTTCCAAAATATCATATATATTTTGAAAACAAATATCATACTTATTTTGTTTTCAAATTATGATATTTTTTTAATAGCAATGATCCAAA